CAAACTTTCCTTCCTTTTTAAGGCTGAATAATATTTAAGACTATTTTGTTTAACATGTTAAAGACTGTCTCAAACCAGTGGTTAATATTACATTTGAAGGTAAAATATTATAGATCTGTATCCAGATGTGGTCAGGATGCTTGCTGTTTAATATTGTTCGCAGCTCCAGCCAATATAGCTCGCTAAGAAAAGGAAATAAATGGTGTAACTGTTGAAAAAAAAAAGTTGTCTCTTATTTTAGCCAATAGGGTGCCTTTCTTTTCAGACTGCAAACCTATTTTGAAGTAAGAGTACATATATTTTAAAATTAGCTATTTTTACAACTCCATCTTTTCATTTGTGACCTAGATCCTATTCTTTTGCCTATTCAAGGACCTTTTTCTTGCATATTTTCTTTTCATCAATTTTTTACTCTCTCTTCTGGATTCTCCCCAGCAGCATATGTTATAGTATCTCCCACCTTTAAAATATCCTCCCTCTGACCTCATCTTACAAATATTCTCCCTCTGACCTCATTGTGTGTTTCTCCAGCTACAATCCCATTTCTCTGCTCCCTTTATAGCCAAACTCTTAAAGAGAATTGTCTATAGTCCAACTCAGTCCCTTATCTGCCATTTTCTTCTTTCTCTTTTTATAACCTTTCTTTTTAAAATTATTCTCCAGATATTTCACATGTTGGCAAGAGGACTAGAATTTGTTTGGGTCCAAGGCCCACTTTAGGCGTGTGTGCTAGGCAGAGCTGCACCCCATCCCCCCTCTTCACTCTAATCTGTCTTTCAGTTTCACCACTTCACTGACTCCTCCCTGGCCCTATTAAGGTCATATGTGACCTTAGTTGCCCATCGACTGGTCATTTCTCATTTTATTCAACATCTCAGCAGGATGTGGCACAGTAGCCTACTCCAAAACACTTTCTTCAGCTGCCTTTTGGGATACCAGAGTCTCCTCGTTTTCATCCTGTGACACTCGTCACTCCTTCTTAGTCTCCTGCATTGGTGGTCCCTGACTCTGTCCTGGGATCTCTTTTCTTCTGTGGCCATGGCCTCTCCTTGGATGACCTCATCCAGGCTTATGAACCCTAACAGAATCTAGGGACTGATGATCCCCGATTTATATTTCATGTCCTCCTTCCCCCACCAAGTCCAGATTTGTAAATCCAAATGGCTACTTGAAATCTCCATTTGCACATGTAATAGGCAACTCAAACTTGACCTGCCCAATCTTGATTTTTCCCTCTCAAAATTCGTCCTCCTCCATTGTTCCTCATCTACGTTCATCAGACCTTGACGCACTTTTGCTCAGTCCCCCAAACCACAATACATACTTGATCTTTTTCTTTCCATCATCCCTTGACATTCAATTTGTCAATCTACTCTATTGACTGTCTTCAAAATATATCATGTCCTCACTGTCTCTGCTGCTACAACCCAAGCCCTCGCCACTGCTCTCAACTTTAGCCTGAGCTGTTTTCAGTAGCCTCACCAGTTGGTATCTTGCCTTCCACTGTCTTCCTCTGCAGTGTGTTCCTTCACAAAAGCCAAAGTGACCTTTTAAAATGTAAATCAGGTCATACCACTCTCCTGCTAACCTATTATCCTGTATAATAAAAGCCTAATATGCTAAGTGTCTGGTCGGCCATTCAACCAATCAAAGTGTAGTATGCTAATGATATGCTAAGGCTGCTCAACCACTTGCTATGATGTGTACTGACCACCAGGGGGCATGACCAATCGCTATGACATGCACTGACCACCAGGGGGCAGACGCTCTGACTGGTAGGTGAGCTTACTGCTGGGGTCTGGCCGATTGGGACTGAGCGAGATGGGCCAGACACGCCCTGGAGCCCTCCTGAGGTCCCTCCCTGGCCCTGATCATGCACCGGTGGGGTCCCTTGGCCTGGCCTGCCCTCTCGCAATCCAGGACCCCTTGGGGGATGTCGGAGAGCTGGTTTCAGCCCAACGGCAGAACGACCAGTCGCTATGACATGCACTGACCACCAGGGGGCAGACGCTCAATGCAGGAGCTGCCCCCTGGTGGTTAGTGCGCTCCCACTGGGGGAGCGCCTGCTCAGCCAGCTGCCAGGCTCACAGCTGGCTCCCTGCGGGCCTAAGCCAGCAGCCGGACATCCCCTGAGGGCTCCCAAACTGCGAGAGGGTGCAGGCCGGCCTGAGGGATCCGCCCCCCCGCCTCCCGAGTTCACGAATTTTGTGTACGGGGCCTCTAGTACTTAGAATAAAATTCTATTATTTTTACCCATCTAAAGGGCTTTAAAGTCCTGGTCCACGATTGACCTTCTGACCTGCCCTCCCTGACTGTTTGGCTCCGTCCACTCCAGCCTGCCCTAGTCAGCCTCCTTGCCTCCACACAGCTTCCCTGGGCCGCAGCTGGCTTTCCTTGATGTGCACACGGCTTGCTCATTATTAGGGTCTTGTGCTCAACTGTCATTTCTTCAAAGATGACTTCCCAGATAACTCTAAGATATGTACCACTAGCCCCAGTCTGCTTTGTTTTTACCCTGCTTTGTTTAACTTCTATCAATTACCAGTGTCTGAAATTATTTTTCTATTCATATTCTTGTCTTTCCCACTCAAATGGAAGCTCTGCAAGGGCAGTGGCTTCCTATGCCTTGTTCTTTCTTGTATCCCTTGTGCTTAGAACAGAATTGGCACATAGTAGGTGCTCAGTTAATAACTGTTAAATAAAGTTCAGCACTTACCAGTTATAAAACATACTGCGGGGGTGAGGGGGCAGTCTGTTTACAACAGTGATGATAGATAGATAGATAGATAGATAGATAGATAGATAGATAATTATCAATAAGTAAAAAATAAGCAACAAACATGAGGTATCATTTTTTCCCTATTCAGTGGGAAAAACTAACGTTGGTGAGAGTGCTAGGACATGGGTACTGTCATTTGCCACTGGTGGAAATATAAAATTGTCTAAGCTTTCATAAGTGATGAGTCATGGATGATGTTTATCTCAACTTTCATGCATCATGAACTATGTCTCCCATTTTTTCCAATAATTACTCCCCCCCCCATAATTACTTTTTAAGCCAGAAAAATCCAATCATCTTAATCTTTCCCCCCCTCTTTAAAATAAAAATTTTGTGAAGTTGATCCCAGCAGCGGATGGCCTTGTTTTGCTGTTGCCTCTTAAGAATAGTCCATCTGACCCCTGTACCAGGCTTCCCTGGGATCATGCAATGCCTGTCATTGAGAACTGTGTGCAGAATCACTCTTGTTCTGCGGCCCTGGGCTGGCTTGGGGAGCCCATCGGACATGTGGGGCTGGGGAAAAACATGCAGGCGTGGCCCACCCAGTCTGGGGGGGGGGGGTCCCACCACCCTCCCCACCAAGACTCAGGTCTCCACAGACAGGGAAGCCTAACATTCCTGGGCAGATCCCCTGCCCCCCCAGCTCCCTCGCTGCCTGGGATTGAATTAAAAACAATAATAATCACAGCCACAGGTGCCTTTCTCTCTCCCGTATGCAGCTGAACCTCTGATGCCCGTTTCCTTAGACACGCTCGGCCCTGCTCTGCCCATGCCTGGTGGCCAGCCTCCTGCCTGGGCCCAGTCCTGGAAGGGAAGTTCGCAGCTGAATCCCCAACGGGCCATTCTTGTTTCCCCTGGTTTCTGTCTTTCCTGGAGGTTCATTGGTAGCTGGACATTTCACTTAATTCTGTTGCTTTCTGGGCTCGGCAGTTACGTTCCCGAGCACCCCGTGGCTCACCTGGACAGGTTCACCCAGACGGCTGAGAGCAAAGCCCGCACATACTTGGCTCCTGTATGTTGCATTCACATTTCCTCAGCCTCGTCCCACTTAGAATCTGGCCTTTGACAGTGTGCACAGTCAGCCTCAAGACCTGCCAACCATTGTGGATTGTTTACAGTGTCATCAAGAGTTAAGGGTTGAGCCTTAGCCGGTTGCTCAGTGGTTAGAGCGTCAGCCCTCGGACTGAAGGATCATGGGTTGGATTCCGTTCAAGGGCATGTACCTCGGTGTCAGGCTCAATCCCCGGCCCCGGTCAGGGCTCATGCAGGGAGCATCCAATCAATGTGTCTCTCTCACATCGATGTTTCTCTCTCTCTTAACTCTACTCCTCTCTTCCACTCTCTAAAAATCAATGGGGAAAACATATCCTCAGGTGAGGATTAACAAAGCAAACTAACTAACTAAAAAAAAGCTGAGGGTTGGGGCTGGCTCAGGATATTGCTTCCCTAGTGTTTGCTGGCTGAATGGCACACAGGTATAATGACTCTCCATGTCCAGGGACCTGGTGAAGCAGTGAGAGGGGCAGATTTTAACTACTTGTCTTCCGTTTCCTGTCCCTTCTCGTTGGGGTTCAGAACAGGGGAGCACCTGCCTGCTGAGAGGGTGGACAGGCACCAATAAAAAGCCTCCCTTTTTGCCTTAACCACTTGTTCTGGTTGTGTTCAAGAAGCATAATCCACCCTAGCCGGTTTGTCTCAGTGGATAGAGCGTCGGCCTGCAGACTGAAGGGTCTGGGGTTTGATTCTGGTCAAGATCACATACCTGGGTGCGGGGCTCGATAGGGGGCGTGCAGGAAGCAGCCAATCAATGATTCTCTCTCATC